ATTTGAAGTTTCGACAAAAACAAAAAAAGTTTTTAGTGCAGGCCAGTGCAGGAACAGAAAGCAAATCTTAAAATAAAAATATAAATAAACGTGATAAATGTTACAATAAAAATCTAAAAAATTACCATTATCGGCTAACTGTAAATATACTCTGCCCACTTTCCCATAAACTGAAAATATTTCCCGGATCTTCGTGATGTTCATATATTTTGGAATTGTGGACAAATAAATTATTCCTCTTTTAACCTTTTTATCGAGTTTTACAATTTCTTTAGGAGTTTGTATTAATTCATTTTTTGTGTCACCAGAGAGAAAATTGAGAGCGGCCATCTCGGCCTTTTTCGTGGGACCGTCAAGGTATGTTTTCATGGGCGTCAGTCGACGCGGGTCAGGATGATTTTGTGACGTCATATTAGTTTCAGCGTCAACGCTCAGGAGGTTGATCATGTAACTTTTCCCCTAAGGCGGAAACATGAAAAGTGAAAAGTTCCACGTGAACTTACGATTTTGTGGGATCATGTAACTCTCTCAAACGTGAAAATGTGAAATTTTTCACGTGAACTTTTCCCCCTTGTACCTTGATGGCGGAAAGGCGGAAATCTAGGGAATTAATAAATATGCTTCGGAATTAGAGAAGATTAGGGCTGCGAGAGCAAAAATATTTTTTTCTAAAACTGCTACACTTAATAAATATTGTAGGTTATATATGTAGGTGTATCTACTTCTTAATGCGAATTATTACCAAAAATAACATATGAAAACCTTTTTTATTGTGCGTCAGAATGTCGCCGTCATTATACTGATCTAACTTTATCCGAACCTGATTTCGAGCGTCAATTGACGCTCATGAAAAAGCACCTTCAAAACCTCCGTACATTAGCGCCACAGTTTCATTTTAGCATGTTGGAACTAAGTAGCGAGTTCCATTTTCTGACACTATCGATAAAATCTCATTCCGGTGTGTGTCCGTGCTACTTCCACAAAGGAGCAAGGATCCGAAAGGAGCGGAAAGGAGCGGAAAGAATATATTTATATAATTATTTATTTTACGTTTGCGCAATTTTCTCGTTGTAAAATATTGATGAACATTAACATTGGCACACACACACACACACACACACACACACACACACACACACACACACACACACACACATATACATATATACATAAT